GCAAATAAATTGCTTTACCAGAGTCCTCTGTTGGTTACCATTAGAATGAGTCAATTTATATTTATTTATATGTTACCCTTACAAGGAATCTCAATTTAATATACCTTATCTATGTAAATCGCACTTTACCAGTTCTGGTAAATGCAATGGTAGCTGACTGCTGGGCAATATGTTACAATCCTATATTAGTGAATCCAGCCCCAAGGTACCTACAGACCCTCTTGTCCATCCAGTGACTACTCTAAGATGTTTCAACTGGGCAGATAGAGAGGAAGAGTGTAGTTGGGTTTTGCCTAATAGATTCACAATTGAAGATATCGCACAGTGCTACAGGGTCTGTCACGTTGACAGTGACAGACCTCACATTATTGTGGGATTCTTGCAGAGGTGAAACATTTGATTCAGATTTGGAGTCCATTAGTGACGGCCCATGAACAAGGCAGAACTTTATCTGAAAAGAAAGTAGAGGCCACAGATAGATCAGGGCTGCATTCATCCTAGGCTAAGAGCTCACTGAGTCACTGAAAAGGAGTTAATTGAATGGTGTTGCTTTGTGTAGTAACTTTGCTTGCTAACTTAGCGAGCTGAGCAAGCAGACAGACTTCCCTAGACTGCTTGTTCAAAGAACATGACTTTACATGTCAACTAAGATGGTGGCCCAAATAATACATCTTCAGAAGTGCCAGTACTGTATGAACTTTCTATGAACTTCTATCACATAAATACAGAAATAATATTTGCTTCATAAGATGACTTCCATATGAATATGTGTCCAACTCCGCACTGGACTAATGAGGAATGACAATCAACAGAGTCTTGTAAATCCTTTCAAAAGTAAATATTTTTTTCTCAACTGATGTTACTCTAAAAGCAAGATTTGCATCCGCAAATAACTTATCAAATAAACATTTGGATGTGTTTACAGCTATGGACTGTAGAGACCAAGCAAAAACTACCAGTTATAGTTAAATCAAGGTGTAACAACTCCACCTTATTGGCTCGGGGAGCTGTTAGGCTGGTTGAGTACAGGAACTGTGGCATGTAGATTAGGACAGTAGTTAGGCAGTCTCTTTCCATTTTCCAAACCAGTCGAAGGGTGTGGTCACCTGTCACTGAAAGAAGAAAGGGGATTCCTAGGACAGTAGAAGTCAACAAGGCATTGCATTGCTCAGATCATTACTCTTATTTTTGCAAAATTATTAGAGATCACTTATAGAGACTGATACATTGGATTCACACCTGGCAAATCCACTATTGAAATTATCATTGCCTTTCAGGTCATTGTAGAGTATCATCTTGCTCGTATCCTGCTTTAACTTCAAGAAAGCATTTGACTCAGGGCATATTGAATCCTTTAAGGAGCTTCTGATATTGAGAGGAATCCTAGTAACTATAAAGGGGGCCGTCGCACCCGAGAATGAACTTCGTTAATTTGATCGGATTTTCGCGATTTTTAAATATGTTATATATACATATACTAAGATTTACACAACCAAGTTTCATATCATATGGATAATAAACAATGAAGTTATTAAAAAAAAAAAAAAAAAAAGTTAAGAAATTATAAATCTCACTTATCCATAGACCAAACTTGTTTAAAAAATCACCACATAAAGTCTTTAGCAATACCTATGATAGACACGATTTGATTTTGAAATTTCCTCCGTAGTGTAGATTTTTTTTTTTTTTTAATGGTCATTGATACCTATATAAAATATGATAAATCGACTTTCATCCCCTGAAATAAAAAACAAAATTGAGAAAATTTTAAATTTATTCAGCTTTCAAATGATCCAAATGCCATTAAAATCGCCCGAGTAGTTATGGAGAAACAACAAAGAACGTCGACAAATGTGTAGTTTTGAGATATCGGAGTTTGAAGTTGAAGATACTTTTCCCTGTAGAATGCATCAAGATTGAGAATTCTATATATACTATATATATATATATATATATATATATATATATATATATATATATATATATATATATATATATATATATATATATATATATATATATATATATATTATATATTATATATATATATATATATATATATATATATATATATATATATATATATATATATATATATATATTATATATATATATATATATATATATATATATATATATATATATATATATATATATATGGAAGAAAAACCCACAATGCACAAACTAGATTTATTGATGAAAGTGAGACAACAGTTTCGGAATCGTCCTCGATTCCATCTTCGGGTCTGAAGAGGCAAGGGAGACGAAGTGGTATAAGAGGGAAAGGAGGAGAAGCACTCGGGAACCACGGGGCAGGTGAGGACAGGAGAACGGAAGCGAAGGGAGGTCAGATCAGGTCGAAGGATCAGGCGGTCTATGTGACGGGTGACCGGCATAAGGGAGGAGACGAAGGATGTGGGAAGTGAGGAGGCTGTCGGCAGGAGAGAAACCGCTGTTCAAGTTGAAATTGGGCAGCAGCTTAATGAGAGAAGATTCCACCAGTCTGCGGGCATGGACGTCAGCGGAAGGGAAGAGAATGCGTGCAGCTTTCCAGTCCATCTGATGGCCAGTGTCCCACTGATGGCAGAAGAGGGCGTTGTTGCTATGTCCCCTGGATACAGCGTACTTATGCTGAGACAGACGCTTAGTAAGACTGGCGCCTGTTTCACCAAAATACTGCTGATCACAGGAGGCACACGGAACAGCATAGGTGCCCACCTTCGAGGTAGAGGGAGGGCAGGTGTGAACCAGGTTACGACGGAGAGTATTCACCTGGCGAAAGGAGAGTCTGCAGTTGAGAGACTGCAGGGGCCGACGGAGGGAGTAGATCTCCTCAGTGTAAGGCAGGCTGAGGACAGGCAGGTGAGGAGACTCATTGGGAGGGGAGTCATGGTAGAAGGTACGTCGTGCCCTGGATAACGCGACGTCTAGGACATGGCGAGGATAGCCCAGTTTGGAGAACGAACGACGCAGGAAGTCGATCTCTCCATCCAGGTACTGGGGGTCACATATGCGGAGGGCACGGAGAAACAGCGAGGTGGCAACCCCTCTCTTCACATGCAGCGGATGGTACGAGAAGAAGTGTATGTACATACCACTGTGCATAGGCTTCCTGTATATAGAAAAGGAGAAATGATCAGCAGAGCGATGGACAAGAGTGTCCAAGAAAGGAAGCTTGTCGTCAACCTCCCATTCCTCCTTGAAGCGGATGGACGGAGAGAGAGAATTCAGCTGCGACAGGAAATCAGGAAACAGGGCAGGTTCATGGGGCCAGAGAGCGAAGGAAGGGAGGAGCTCCGACTTGAAGAACTCCATGTACAGGTTAGCCAGAACAGGGGAGAGAGGAGAGCCCATGGCAACACCGAACGTGAGTAGAAACGACCCTCAAAGGAGAAGGAATTCAACTCCACACACAGATGAATCAGCTGGAGGAAGACTTCGGTGGGAAGAGGAAGACGAGGATCCTCGGCAGGGAGCTTCCTCAGAAGGAAAGCGAGGACGTCATCAAGCGGGACCTTGGTGAACAGGGAGTCGACATCCAGGCTCAGCATGGATGCCGACGGGACACCGCGGACACGAGAGATGAAGTCCTGTGAATGGCGAAGGTGAGCAGGAGAGAAGGTGCCGAGAAGGGGAGTGAGAGACTTAGCCAGCCAAGCCGCCAGAGGATGCGTCACCGATCCCCGGGAGGAGATGATGGGGCGTAGTGGCACGGCCGGCTTATGGGTTTTAGGAAGCCCATAGAAATGAGGGAGGCGAGGGTTAACGACCTTGAACCTCTGGTAAAGGTTCGCCTCCGGGAAACAGGCTGCAAGCTCTCTCAGACGACGGTGGAAAGTGGCAGCAATGCGTTCCCGCGGGTCACTGGTCAGGGGGGCATAGGTGGAGTTGTCACCTAACAGGTCCTGGGCCTTCTGCAGGTAGGAGGCTCGGTCGAGGACCACCACCGAGTTACCTTTGTCAGAAGGCAAAATGGTGACATCTTCCATGCGCAGGCTGTGAAGGGCCTCACGGTAACGCCTGGGGATGGAAGGGTTAGGGTGAAGGAGGGACTCGAGGGCCGGAAGGAAGGCCCCACGTAGGAGGGAGACATCAGGCAAGGAGTTCCTATGAGCGGAGATGAACCGGTCAAAGGAAGAAATGATGTCAATAGAGGTAAGGGGAAGAGGGCGGAGAGCAAAGGAAAGACTGAAGCCAAGGAGTTCTAGTTGGTGAGGGGTCAAGGACAGGGAGGAAAGGTTGGTAACCGCGTCGGTGAGGGAGAAGTGGGACCAGGGACTACGGGAGGTGAGGTTGGAGAGTTTCTGGGAGAGGGAGCGGGCATGGGTAGTGGAGAGGAACCGGGAAGAATCGTGGGCCACGTCAGCTAGGAGCTGGAAGACAAGGCCGGGGAGTCGTTCCTTCAGGAGGTCAGAACGAACCCGCGAGCGATAGTAGGAAAGCTTGACATCCCTCTTACCAGTGCGGATCCGTTCAAGGAGGAGGGAGCGAGCATAAACAGGAAAAGGAGATCCTCCATCCGAGTGCTTCAAGAGGTTGCCGATCGAGGAAGGGAGCACCTGCTCCTCGAGGCAGTCTCGAAGGAAACGCAGTTGATTCTTCCGTCGGGCCGTGGCGATGACGGAATCCTGGAAAGCGCGAAAGGCAGGAATCAGGTCGGGGAAGGAGGCAAACAGGAACGAGAGAAGATTTCGTTTAACCGTGGGGTCCATGATGCAATGAAAAACACAATACCGTGTTGATAAAATGGAAGAAAAACCCACAATGCACAAACTAGATTTATTGATGTAAGTGAGACAACAGTTTCGGAATCGTCCTCGATTCCATCTTCGGGTGTGAAGAGGCAAGGGAAACGAAGTGGTATAAGAGGGAAAGGAGGAGAAGCACTCGGGAACCACAGGGCGGGTGAGGACAGGAGAACGGAAGCGAAGGGAGGTCAGATCAGGTCGAAGGATCAGGCGGTCTATGTGACGGGTGACCGGCATAAGGGAGGAGACGAA